TTCTACTTTTTATTTTCATCTTTAATTAATTGTTTTTTTTTTGCTAGTCTTTTGTCTATTTTTTTTTGTTTATTTTTTACGAGGAACAACAATTTGTCCCCATTTTTTTGTTCAATGGAGAATCCGTCCTGTTACTATACTTTAGGGGTGAATTTTGGTATTTTGCCTATAATATATTAATGTTTTTGGATTAATTCTTTTCAATCTCATATCTGTTTCTCTTCTATTTTTTTACTCCTAATTGATTAAACATTAATTGGGATTATTAATCAATTTATTTGGAGTTCTAATTCTTTTTTGATGTTGTTTTGTAGGAAACATTATTGGGAGATAAATATTAGGTAAATAAATTTTATTTATGTACCACAAAATTTCATTTTAATTATATTTTGAATGTATTTTTTTGTTGAATTAATATGTAAATATTAAATTAATTTATATTTTATCATTTTTTTAGGAATGGTGCTCTATAAATGTCAAATTTTTACTGTAGGTCATTTTTTATTTTTTTATTATATTATTAAATTATATCTTATATTTACTTTATTTTTTAAAATTATGCTTTAATTATTAGTTTGAGCTAATAAATTGAATATTTTTTTTGTATTTATTGTAAAATGTTAATATTATATGTATTTTTATAATATTGAGAGTTATAAATTAAGTTTTATTTGATAATAAATAAATTGAATTGAATATATATATATTCATTTCAGAATTAATAAAAATTTTTTCTCAAAAAATTTTTGTACCAACGTTTAATACGTCGATGAAAAGCATTAATTTATTTTTGAGAATAACTCATTTGGCAGCTTGCAAGTTGGTGACGTCCCATCAACAACACTGTTTGTGACTTCCATGCTGATTAAAATCTTGTCGGTAAAATTAATAATGGGAAATATTCACTCACGCAAGTTACCAACGTGAGTCATGTCGGCAAATTACCAACGTGACATCTTGTTAGTTGCACTTTTCCAATCACACTTTGAAAACTTATTCCTTGTCAGTGATGGGGAGAGAATCCACCAACGTGACTTTTTGTTACGTTGGTAGATTAATTATCGAGGAAGGCTACAGCGACAAAGCATTACTGACGTGGTTCAAGTGATAGATTTAACACTTACATGTTTTAAATTGTAAAATTCTGAGTTTCATTGTAAATGCATTCTCTTTAAAATTATAATGTTTATAGTTTATAATGTGAAAAGAATGTATGGAGAGAAAAAATCAATTGTTAGCATGTTACAAATGTTCTTGTTTTTTGTTTTTTAATTTTTTTAGGGGTAGTGAATAGTGATATGATAATGAAAAGAAAAAGTTAAACTTTTATTATTTAATTATATGGTAATTAGGAGTTTTTAAAAATTTGTTTAGTTATTCGTTGTAAAAATTTTAGTAATTAGTCAAGAAGTAGTTTCTTGTTTATAAAAGTATATCACATAAAGTATTTGTTAAAAACTAAACTAATCATGGCTAAATCACATAACATGTTGAAATATGGGGCTTTGATTGGTGGATTTTTTTATATATATGGGGAAAATTATTATTTATTTATTTTTATTTAGAAATAAAATTTATCTAGCAAGCAAGCAATCTTAATAAGAAGAAGAAGAAGAAGAAGAAGTGTAATACCCCAAAATTTTGTGATATTTTAGCATTAAGTTAAGGATTAAATTGTGGAAAAATATTATTTTGGGTTTAATAACCAAAATGTCCAAACTTGAGGGACTTAAAGAGGGAAATTTTGGATAAGGATTAGCTTCTTTTCTTTTTCTTTTTCTTTTTTTTTTCCTTCTTTCTTTCTTCCTCATCCCGTGTGCTTCTGCTATTCCCGTCCCCTGCAGCTCCCAAAAGCCCCCCAAGCTGCCGGCAACAATTTTCTCAAGGAAACCGGTAGAAAGCTTGAAATTTCTCCTTCTTCTCTTGTTAAATAACAAGCATAGAACCCAGAAATCCTTTCCCCCCATCTGCAGAATTCCAGATCTGCTCTGCTCTGTCCTCACCGTCCGGCTGCTCCTGCTTTGTGGGGGCGAATTGCTCTGGTTTTTGGTAAGATTCAGCCAAGAAATCATCTCTTTAACCTTAATTTAGGCTGTGTTTACTTTAATGGCTTTTATTTCCTTCAAATTTTGGGTAGATTTTCGTGAGTTTCCCTGCAGATCCCACCGGCCTCTTCCCCAAACTGCAGCTTCGGTTTCCTTGCTTGCAAATTCTGGTATGTTGACAGCCCCTCCAAGCCCTGAATTTGTCCATTTATTTGCTGCCTTGTGTGTCCGAATTTTGCTAGAAAAATGGGAGGAATTTCGGTAGCAATTAAGAGCATTTTAAGTGTGTTTTGTTGCTTAATTCATGTAGAAAATTAGTTAATTGATTGCTGTGATTTTTGGAGAGAAAATCCCGTGAAATTAGCTAGTGTTTTGGCCAATTTTTGGAAGTTGCAGTACTGTTCACGGCGTGAGCACGGTTCACGTCGTTAGCTTTGTTCACGGTACTGTTCATGGGTAATGGCCAACAATTAACGGGGATCTAATTGTTTAGTTTGTAATATAAGAATAAATTTGGAAATGTCTGATCATGTGGAGATTGATAAGAATAACATCGTGATTAGGGGGTAGTCATGGTGATTTTAACTTTGAATCCGTGGTATGGTAATTAATTCTTGAATATTTTGATTAGGTTATTGATCGTTCTATCAGTTTAGCATTGAGGTCGAGTTTTCGATTTTATGCGAGTGAGATAAGTAAATTTATGGTAATGTCCATACAGTTTTTAAAAGCATGTTTTGACTTATTTTGAAATGGTGGCGGGGCTAAACTCATTTTACACGAGCATAACTCATTTGAAGTGAAATTTTTATGCTTTTCATTAAATTGAGCATGCCTACTTGAAATTTAATTGATTGTTCTGATGATTTGAAAGTGATTGGTGAATTATGATTTTTTTGTTAACTTTTGCCTGTTTTGTCTCTGATATGGTCATGTTATTCGTGTGCCCGCTAGTGGGAGGTTTATAAACGCTAGCACATGTCGACATGTTACTGATAGAACCGATTCGTTTCTGTTATCCTGCTAGTGGGATCATACACTAGTAAATCGTGTGCCTCCCAATGGGAGGTTTATAACACTGGCCATGACCTATGGAGGAGACGTCTATTTCGTTTCCGTACCCGTATCTGTTTTTCGTCATTATACGTGTTGGCATGCTATAAGTTTAAGTAAAGGCACTTCATATTTTACTTACTGAGTTTATCTCATAGTTTTCCTTGTCCACCATTTCAGGAAGCGAAATCAAGGACGGGGAAACCACGGGAAGTGACAAGTTAGAAGGCTAACCATTTCGACATTGATATAGATTTTAGAAATAAATCATGCTTTTGTAAGATAGGTTTTACCTTGAATTTATGAGATCAAAACAGATTTCGGTCATTAGATCAATTACTTGGATTTAAGTCATTTTGGATATAGAAATAAATTGAGATATTTGATTTAAATTATTGGATTGTCAGATGTGAATTGGATAAGTTCCGAGCCTTGTGCATTTGTGGGATCCTCTCACAAGTGCACGACATCTGCTACGTCCTCAGATTTGGATTCTGGGGCGTGACAAAAAGTTTGATTTATTAAAATTTCTAGAAGATTTTAGAGAATTATGCCATGTTTTCATTAAAAAAAAAAGAATAAAAGTGTCTAAATACTAATTTTAAAGGCAATCACTAAAGAATTTTGACTAAACCCCAAATCT